GCCAGGAAAGCTAAAACTTTTGTGGAAGCATCCTGGGGTAGTGTAGATATTAAATTGTTAAAATCATGACCCCCTAGGGGTAGGGCGGGGCCACAATAGGGAATCCAAGTTTTACATAGAAATATATAGAACAAATCTTCTTCTTCTCAAGAACCACAGGGCCCGGAAAGCTGAAACTTATGTGGAAGCATCCTGGGGTAGTGTAGACTCTAAATTGTTAAAATCATGATCCCCGGGGGTAGGGCGGGGCCACAATAGGGAATCCAAGATTTACATAGAAATATATAGAACAAATCTTTAAAAATCTTCTTCTCAAGAACCACAGGGCCAGGAAAGCTGAAACTTATGTGGAAGCATCCTTGGGTAGTGTAGATATTAAATTGTTAAAATCATGACCCCGGGGGTAGGGTGGGGCCACAATAGGGAATCCAAGTTTTACATAGAAATGTATAGAACAAATCTTTAAAAATCTTCTTCTCAAGAACCACAGGGCCCGGAAAGCTGAAACTTGTGTGGAAGCATCCTGGGGTAGTGTAGACTCTAAATTGTTAAAATAATGATCCCCGGGGGTAGGGCGGGGCCACAATAGGGAATCCAAGATTTACATAGAAATATATAGAACAAATCTTTAAAAATCTTCTTCTCAAGAACCACTGGGCCAGGAGAGCTGAAACTTATGTGGAAGCATCCTTGGATAGTGTAGATATTAAATTGTTAAAATCATGACCCCCGGGGGTAGGGCGGGGCCACAATAGGGAATCCAAGTTTTACATAGAAATATATAGAACAAATCTTTAAAAATCTTCTTCTCAAGAACCACAGGGCCAGGAAAGCTGAAACTTATGTGAAAGCATCCTGGGGTAGCGTAGATTCTAACGTTTTAAAATCATAAAAGGGAAGGGGGTAGTGGGGCATGATAGGTATAGCAAGAGGGAGTATCTGGTAAAGAACTGCATCACCCAAGTTACTCAGGTGAGCGATGTGGCCCATGGGCCTCTTGTTATACTGTGTGGAAAAAATAGTAAAGCAGAATATCAGAGAAAATGCGATAAACAGAAACGTAAATGATTTGTACAGTAGGTGAATGTAGATTTTAATTGCTTCACTCATGAGATGAGGTTTTCATTTATTTATTTCACATGTGCAAAGATAGTTACAATTGTGAAAATATTTATATATAAAAAATATGTCTCATTCTTAAAATGAATTTTAATCATATAACATGAAACATATAAAGATAACGAACAGTATTCAAGATCAAAAATCTATAAAACAATACAAAATAGTAGCAGAGCAAACATGGACCTCCGAAACATCAGAGGTGGAATCTGGTGCCATGGAGGAGTGAGCATCCCTTGCCGACCGGTCACACCCGTCGTGTGCTCCTTTTCATGATTGAGAAATAAGGGGAAAATCCGTCGTAAATTCAGTGTATATAATGGACTAACAATCAGACTCAATGATAAAAGTTAATGAATTTGCTTACAAGGTCATTGTATCGACCATGGAACTCTCGAAGTGATGACTTTAAACGAGACTGATAATATTCTTGTTTCGTCAACTCATTTGTCATTAAGTTACCTCGTTTTGGTAATTGTTCAGTTACGTAGAGCATGCTCTTGCGTATCGAATCAACGGAGATAATTATATATTTCCATTTCCAATTGTTTTCTCTATGATAAACACTACAAAAGTGAATCTTGTTAATTTCATGGTAATACCCTGTGGTATGTATATTTCTCTATTACTGAAAGGTCAGGTGTCAACCTGCATGTATATCACTGGCGTATAAATATGCTAAAGAAAAAATAGATGTTTTGTTTAATTGTTTATTAAGTAATTTGATATGATATATCTTTTTAACAAACAAAATAAATAATGAATTATCTTCGGCTCGAAAGCAAGTCACTAGTCAGTAGACTAGTGCAACGCTGTCCACTATCACCGAGGCCTCGCGAGACCGAGAACTCCACTTCCCGGTAAACAGCCACGTGGAGAAATTGACATTGCCACATGGATCTGCACGTACTCCATCATCTGATACAGACATCGTCCCTTAGTCATTACCACCCAACTTCTTACGCAACTCAACTTCTTCTGTTATTTAACATCCATACAAAATCGGTTTCCTGACCATGCTGACCAACTCCCGTTTCATCAACTGCAATATGGCGGCGGAGAAGTGACATAGTGCCTATATATGTTCGTGCTTCCGACAACCTAAATCTAGGTCACATATATAATTAAAGTTAACAAGATTACTTTGATCATAATTTAAAATTCTTTTGTTGTTTATTTTATAAATGTTGATATTTGACGACGGTAACTAAATAATCCATAAATTTGTTTCGTGTTTTTTGGGACTATTTTTTTATAGTAAAATTTGACGTCATGGGGCCTTGTGCATTTCAAATCTATTCAATTAGACGGTATTTCGATTTATTCTAAGATGGTTATTTCAAGTAAAAATGGAAAAATAAGGAATCACTGTCTAGTTTTGAGAGTATGCCAGGGACATCAACAATAGTGGGAAACATGGGCGAAGCCCGTTATGCAAATTATCCAATGTTTCCCACTATTGTTGATGCCCTGGCATACCCTCAAAACTAGACAGTGATTCCTTAAATAAACTCCATATGATGGTGATGAAGGTATATTGCTCGTAAGTAAGGGTCCAAATGATCCGCTCTATACTTTTTATCCTTTACGATGTTATTTATAGAAAATATCACATTCTTATTTCTTTTCATTTATACAGACCAGTAAATATGTAAGTGATCTTTACAACATGGTGGCTTTTACTACATGTACTTTCTGGAAATGGTAACATCTCACGCGATTTAATGGTACTCACAGAATCTTTATCGCTGTATTTTTATATCCTTGGCTTTTTCCTATAATGTACCAGTCACTATTGATTATGTTGTGGACTTAGACATTTGATATTTTACAGGTTATTTATTTTGTTCCTTCCTCTGTCATTGCCCCTGATTATGTTTCCTTTACTTTCCTATTTTGCCATTGTCGACCCCCCCCCCCCCCCCCACAAAAAAGAAAAAAAGAACCTAGGGATTTTTTATAGAACATCTACATATGTAGATGTATATCATTTAAACTATGCTAGAATTTTGTCATCTGGACCTTACACGTTACTTAAATTGCATCTTTCCCAGTGTTATGTTTATTACATGTTGAATAAAGCACATGATTAGATTCTTTAGACATAATTTCATCAGGCGCTATATATGATTTTTTTAATTAGCTCTACTGGTCAGAGACCAGAAGAGCTTATGCGATAGTAAGGTGTCTGTCTGTCTGTCCGTCTGTCTGTAAACAATTTTTCAAAACGCTACTCCTCCTACAGTTTTGGTCTGATTTCAATACATGTAAATTACTTGGCAGAGAAGTAGATTACACTAAGATACATAAAATAGTGCATCGGCATTTGATTTCAATGAACGGTGTTGCCATGGTTATTAAAAATAGAATTTTCTGTGAAATTCCTTTAAAACGCTACTCCTTCTACAGTTTTGGTCTGATTTCAATATTACTTGGCACACAAGTAGACTACTAAGATACATAAAATAGTGCATCGGATTTTGATTTCGATGAACGGTGTTGCCATGGTTACTAAAAATAGAATTTTCTGTGAAATTCCTTTAAAACGCTACTCCTTCTACAGTTTTGGTCTGATTTCAATATTTCTTGGCACACAGGTAGACTTCACTAAGACACATAAAATAGTGCATCGGTTTTTAATTTCGATGAACGGTGTTGCCATGGTTACTAAAAATAGAATTTTCTTTGAAATTCCTTTAAAAGCTTCTCCTTCTACAGTTTTGGTCTGGTTTCAATATTACTTGGCAGACAAGTAGACTACACTAAGATACATTAAATAGTGCATCGGATTTTGATTTCGATGAACGGTGTTGCCAAGGTTACTAAAAATAGAATTTTCTGTGAAATTCATTTAAAACGCTACTCCTTCTACAGTTTTGGTCTCATTTCAATATTACGTGGCACTCAGGTAGACTTTGCTAAGACACATAAAATAGTGCATCGGCTTTTAATTTCGATGAACGGTGTTGCCATGGGTTACAAAAATAGAATTTTTTATGAAATTCCTTTAAAATGCCACTCCTCCTACAGTTTTGATCTGATTTCAATATAACTTGGCACACAAGTAGACTACACTAAGATACATAAAACAGTGCATTGGTTTTTGATTTCGATGAACGGTGTTGCCATGGTTACTAAACATAGAAATGTCTGTGAAATTCCTTTAAAACGCTACTCCTTCTGCGGTTTTGGTCTGATTTCAGTATTACTTGGCACACAAGTAGAGTACACTAAGATACATAAAAAAGTGCATCGGTTTTTGATTTCGATGAACGGTGTTGCCATGGTTACTAAAAATAGAATTTTTTGTGAAATTCCTTTAAAATGCTACTCCATATACAGTTTTGGTCTGATTTCAATATTACTTGGCACACAAGTAGACTACACTAAGATACATAATGATTTCGATGAACAGTGTTGCCATTGTTACTAAAAATAGAAATGTCTGTGAAATTCCTTTAAAACGCTACTCCTTCTACAGTTTTGGTCTGATGGCAATGGCTTCTTTTCTCATCCTTTGTTATAAGTACAAACCAGTAGAGCTACAGTCTCGACAGAGACTTCTGGTTGTTTCTATAATAGATATCATGCACTAGAAAATAGGAATTTGTACTTTTAGTACCGGGTATATACATGCATGTATTACATTTATATACAATTTTGAATTAAAATGTACAGGAAAATGGAATGTGACATCCGACCCCCTACCAGATGTCGGTAGTCCAGAACACCAAGATATGTGGCAGGCGCGTCTGAGAGAGGTATACACAGTCAACTCGCCTAGTTTTCAAGATTCTAAAAACTACTATGTTTTTGATCTAGGATATTCCAGTTAAACTATTCTTTGAATTACTGAGAACAGTTTGTATTGATTTTAAAAT